GGAGAAAGAGGAGAGATCGCTCTTGCCTCAAACTGCCCCTCCAGACCAACTCTGAGGAAGGACGACTTCATGCTAACCATGGAAGACGTCGCAAAAGTTGGTACCCGAGCCAAGCTGGTTGTACTCAGCTGTTGTTACAGTGCTAAGGGACAGATAATGAAATCTGAGGGAGTTGTGGGTATCTCTCGCGCTTTTTTGGCAGCGGGAGCTCGCTCAGTGCTGGTTTCCCTATGGGCCGTGGATGATCGAGCCACGAAAGAGTTCATGATTCGTTTCTACGGACATCTGAAGCGCGATAAACTGAGTGCCAGTGAAGCTCTTCACCAAACCATAAAGTGGATGAGAGAATCCAAGAGATACAAAGTGAAGGACTGGGCAGCATTTGTTTTGATCGGAGATAACGTTACTTTGGACTTGTAAAACATGTCATACCACTGAATTGCGCCACATGGCAATCATTGACTGGGTGTTATGGTTTTTTCTATCTCACTGATTGTGTACGAAGGTCTTACTAGTTTATCATATTGAAACTTGACTGATCGGCGATGACGTCACTCTGGACTTATGACAAACTATAACGCTTTAAGGAACAACAAAGTAGTCACAATCGGGTCCATAGTTTTAATTGTGGATGGCGCACATAAGGCTCAATACTGTTTCAGTTTTTGAATGTTCAGATTCATTTAGTCAATGAACAGTGAGAAACCTTCAACTGGTCAAGACTTTGATCAACTTCCACACTTGAAGAATTTGTAAACAAGTAGCTGGGAAATATGAAAAGTCTTGTCGCATGTAGTTATCCACAATGTTGTTCGAAAATTATCCTAGCTCGTTTAGAAATATGGTTGAAGTGACGTTTTCTATTCTAATTTTTTTTAGCGAAATAGGTCGAAAATCTTTTTGGGACCAATTCATCAAGTAATTTGGTCAACATCACACAGAATTTACCACATAGCAGTCGTCTCATCTCGTAATTGGCAGTTGTATTTAGCTAGAAATTAAGTGAACGATCTTCAAAAAATGTAAGGTCGCTATATTCAGTGCGTATGTTAACTTCCTGGGCTCGAAACAATTTGTATCAGAGAAAACAATTGTTAAGGTATTGTAAAAATACCCGATAGCTTTCGAAATCAAGATGGCAGAGGATGCACCTGATCTGTAATGAAATCAAAACTGATTAGAGTAGATTCTTGCAGACAACAATAGTTTAAAAATGAAATGGAGACTGAATAAATAAAAATACAAGTCAGCTTAAGTGTAGGCCTCTGGACAAAGAGATAGTAAGTCTTTTGATGTATCATTTAGAGTTAAGTAAAGGTAAAGTTAAATAAATAATGTTTTCACTGATCTTTAAAGACTGAGCTTGTATCGATTTCACATCGAGAACTCACTAAAAACGGGCTCCTTCATTTGCCTTCCAACGTTTTACAATTTTTATTTGCACTGTTAGCCCACCTATCCTTAAGCTGCTACCTTCTGGGAATTTCACGGGAAGGAGAGGTCTAACGAAGAGAAGCTGCATGGACGTTTGAAATAACAACATTTTATTTTTATTTGGAATCGCCTTCAGTCTTTAGCCAAGGCGCTTCCAAATATCTTTGTTAAGGGCATTCAGACATCGTATCAAGTGAAAAATCGTGTCAGAAATCATTGAACTGCTGCGTGGATCTTATTTTTGTTTCACCAAAAGTAGCCCAGGTGGAGGCGCGGTGGCCTCATGCTTAGTGCGCTCGACTCCAGATCGAGTGGTCCGGGTTCGTGTCCCGGCCGGGACATTGTGTTGTGTTCTTAGGCAAGACACTTTACTCTCACAGTGCCTCTCTTCACCCAGGTGTATAAATGGGTACCGGCAATTTAATGCTGGGGGTAACCCTGCGATGGACTAGCATCCCATAAAATTAGTTACAATGCCCGAGGAACGTTAGAACGCTATTCGTCTCTTTCAAACATTTCTTAAATTCTTGGTATGGTCCGATGTTTGCAGAAGAAAGTTTGATTCACCGTTAATACTAGCATGTTTTCTTCACAGATGTCGAATTGGGGTACGTCTTTGAAATTCCGTATTGCTCGCCATGCAGGAGACTTCCTCTTCCACCGTCATATGTATCACAAAGCTATTGATATGTACAAAGAGGCTCAAGTCTTGTTAAACAAACTCGAATTTTGCAATTACCCTAAAATGTGCTTGCATTACCAACTAGCGCGTTCATACGTTGGTATAACTGATTTTAAGGGAGCATTAGAGAACTATAAAAGACTTTTACAAGTAAACGAAGAAGTTGGGAATAAAGACTGGGAAGTGTTAGCGTGCAGCGGCATCAGTCAAATGCACCGCTTAATGGGTCAACCCGTTCCGTCGATTTTTTTTTTAAGAAAAGTACTTGAAATTGCAAAAGAAACTGAAGACAAACGAGCAGCAGCAGAAGTTTATTTAATAATGGGTGATTCTTATTACAATCTGGGCAAGTCGGATAAATTCATCGAATGTCACAACGACGCGCTGAAAATCTGCAGAGAGATCGGTGACAGACAAATGGAAGGACAAATACTTGCTATGCTTGGAAGCAAACACAAAAATCTTGCTCATTACCAGGAAGCAATCAAATGCCTAGAAAAGTCCTTAGAAATATTCAGAGAAATGGGCAGATGCGAAAACGAGGGAGAATCATATCAAGCTCTCGGGATGACCTACCATGAGATGGGGGATTTTGGCAAAGCTCTCGAATACCATTTCAAGTCTTTAGAGTTGATGATGAAACATGGAGAAGAAGTCGGTCTGGGCGTTTCCTATAACAACATTGGTACTACTTATCAAGCAATCTGTAAATACAGCGAAGCACTTGAGTATTTCAAAAAAACTCATGAAATTATGGGAAAATGGGGAAATAAAATAACAGGAAAAGTTTATCACGGTCTTGGCTTGTGCTACACTACGCTCGGTCAGTTCGCTGACGCTATCAAACACCTGATTAAAGCGGTAGAAATCCTAGAGGAAACTGGACTCAAATTTGAAATGGGCCGAGCCCTCACGGCACTGGGAGGGTCTTACAACACAATTGGCCAGCATCACAACGTTGTCGCGCCATGTTACGTGAGGTGTGGAATACATTAAGTACGACATGCGCTGTGTCATAGGCGAGTCAGTTTTTTGTAGTTGGAATTCGGTTTTGTTTTGTAGTGCAAGACTCATTGTATTCAAAATATGCAAATTGAGAACCCAACGAAAGCCACCGAAAAACGTTGGAGGCCTTTCCGATTAAGACACCTTTCGCCTTTCGCTTTTCGGTATGTTTTCCATTTTTTCAGCTATATCTCGCGGTCCTTGTAAGATTTTGTATGTTTTTTTTTTCAACAAATTAAACGTACCTGCTTTCACTAGCTAAAGAGCAATAATACTGAAATATGAAAATTTTGACCAGATTTTGTCGACAGTAACGTAAGTGAACATTATAGAAAGGACACCCATTGTAGCCTTTCTATAGCGAACACCGGCTTTAATCCCGAATCCATACCTTGATGTGTGACTATGCAATGAAACTGTAATCAGACAAAGTATTGTTTTACTTGCTTGATTGTTTTCCTCGTCCTTAGTTCACATTTCCTTGTTTTTTCCCTTATATTTTTCATCATGTGTTTGCACTCCTTCGGAACCAATTCCTCTTCTATCTTTAAAGTACGATTTTCTGGAACAGCGATGCAAGACGTCAGCGGACTAAATCGCCGAGGAAGCAGGTGGCAAGAGTGTGTTAACTTCACTTGAGATAATAGCGAAGCATCGCGCCTATGAATTTGAAATTTCTGGAGTGCAACTAAGCGAGAGGTGACGAAGGTGGGTAAAGATTAGTATTCTAAAACTATGCGACATAATTACGAGCTAGAGAGGAAATCATGCCATTCGCTGTCGAACGAAAAGTGGGAAGGGCT